CTAAAAATTGTGACCTCTAGTGTGTACAATCAGGGGCCATAATCCATGAAGTGACGGTCCCATACAAGCCAATATCGAAAGGAACTGAGATCTATGGAATATATACCTATATTTCAAGTTATGACCTGTAGAGCGTCCACAAAGAAGGTGTGAAAATGTGGGCGTATAAAAACTTATCATCGATCTAGTGTCGATCATACTATTAAACGGACAAGTAACATACCAATATCGGTAAAATTCTAATTATCGCAACAAATCTAATACGAAGAGGGTAAAATCTGTAGGTACGATGTGTTAATTAACAGGGGTGAGAAATTGACTGAAGGTGATATAATTATCGCTAGGCGTGAAAATCTTGGCGACGGTGCGTTTTCTGTACTGGTGTGTTACTTAATGAACGGGTTAAAAACGACTGACACGGTGTGTATTCTTTGTTTGGTGAGTTTTCTCGAAAGCGTGTTATAACTGCAGCAAAGGTGATTTATCAAGGACCAGCAGGCTATATCTGACGCGTAGGTGTTAAATCTAATTTACCGTGCGATTTTTTGTTCGACACTGTGTTTTACGCAGATCGGTCTTTGTTAAGTGTAGGTCTTTATACATGGATTTATACGTGGGATAGGTACGTATATCCTTTCTTATACGTATTTCATTTCTTGATGAATACTACGTGTTTTGTACTTCGTACCATAGTCGGACTGCAGTTATTTATATATTTGATCTTTTTTGTGGGTTAAATTTGTTTACAAATTATCAGATTATTCAGATTCGATCGATCTCTGTGTAACAAGCTCGTCTTTGAAAGAATAATACTGATATGTGACCTAATATTGAGACGCTTGTTCATATAGCTGCTTGTTTTCCATTGTATGGAATAGCTTTATTAATTGACTCCACAGTGCTAAGAAACCACAGGTTCTGTGTCGGTTCGTGCACACTTTTCACACAGAACTGTTCTTTGATGTTGACAGGCACACACAGTTAGCTCTGCTCTTTGATGTTGAGAGGCGAGCTGTTTCTCGTGCTCGAATGGATTAGCTGATAAAGTTGGTTGGAATTGTTACAGTACAACAAAAAGGACAATTTTGTAATGTGGGTGAATACTGTGGTATATTCAATTTTGATCTTATTGCAATGGATAAATGTGTGGATCACTTTTCGAGCATCTCATTTAAATAAAGCCTATTCTATTAACATAATATGTATATATTATATTCATTTCATTTTTTTTCTCATAGGAAATTTCGGTTAGTATCTCAAACGAAAAAACTGTCCAAGTCATTATATTATGTTGTAATCAGAGAAATGTTCAAACAAAGAAATGAACTAGACAAGATAAAGAGTATAAGCAATACCATTATTTGTTGTCACATATTGATGTTTATATGCGTTCATAATTAAATGTTTTAATTAAATCGTAACGTATGAATTGTGTGCTTTATTTTTCATCGAATTGGTATTAGCCAAGACATTCGCTGCTACACACATATTTGCTCCAATAATGATAGTTTGTGGAATTTTATGGGGTTTTAAAAGAAACATAGTCAATGGGTGGAATTTAAGACTGGGCAGGGCAAAGACAGAGAAACGTTATCAAGTTGTTATTCAAATTATTCAAAGAAATATAAGGCCGCCAAAAAATACGCGATGACATTGTAAAGGAGAAATGCTTGTGCTACTATGCCGACATTATCACGGCGTACGTGGACTAATGCTAAAACATAGGTCTATGATATTTTGCTATAGCATATTTCCAAAAAAAAAAATCTTTGTGGAAAATTTAAAGTCTTTTCTATTAATATTAACAGATTATTTTTATTTGGTTGTTCTTCTTTTTGGATTTGTTAAATTATTAAAAGGAATTTCCAATTCACATAGTAGAAATTTACATTTCTAATTATAATCACCAATCTGACACCAGAACACGAACTATACGCTTCGCTGATCACCAACTTGTAACAACGTTGACCTAGATGTTATATAACTGCTGCCAGACTTTATTAGGGGCAATAAATGGACACACAATTCCATTGTAACTGTATAATGTGTATTATAAACTAAAGGTAAATTTATAGATTTCAGAACAGAACAACAATATTCCAAATACATTCACTGTCTTGTTATATGATGACTTTGGTTTAATAAAATTTAAAATTCGTCATGACTCTGTAAGTTAATAACGATGTGTTGTGTATCCTATTTAAAAACTGTAATTTGTCAGCGACACAAACGCCTCAATGGATTATGTACATAAGCTATAGATATTTTAATTACATCAAAGGTGTATTAGAAATTACTGTTGATCTGAACTAGTTTCTTTTTAAAAAATTCATAAGGTGGAACTCAATATAGAATAATAAATTATAGCCAGAAATATTGAAAATGAAGCTATATAGGTTTAAAACTATGACTTTAAAGTGAATATGTCGAAATGGGTAACTGCAGCAATAAATTATCATTGCCTAATTATATAAATATATTCCTATAAAGGTAGTGGCCTAATTCTTTCAGGCAATTTTACATGTCGATGTGAATAGAATAGATAACAAATATAGTGAAATTTACTGAAATATACATGACAAACCATCTCTTTATGCAAAAACTTTGGTGTGCATCATTATTTTTTTTTATGAGTTATCACATTGTTAATGCCCCACACCCCCTTTATGTTTATAATATTTTCTCTGATTGTAACAGCTTTAAGTGATTTCTCGGTATCATTCAAAATAACAAGTCCTTGCTCTGCGAAAGGAGATCAAACCGTTATAAATGGGATTTATACAAAAGGGAAACATATTTACGCATATACTTGAAGACTTTCTGTTTCAAATCTACGTTGTATTATTCATCTGTTTTATGTGATTTATTTTTGGTATATACGGACACATATTTAATATTCCATATTGTTCATACTGTATTAACAGGCCTTTAACAAATAGATCATGCTATAACCCTATTCTAAACCGTATCCATGATTTGTTTTACGTCAAGTTTTTAGATTTCGAAGCGCACACAATTAAGCAGAATTGGCAGTAAAAATAATTAAAAAATTACTACGGCTTATTATGAAAATCGTTTCAAATAAAGCGACCAAAATAAAAAAAAAAGACACCAAAGTGATTTCCAAAGGCGATTGCATGCTTTTAGAATAGAACAATCTAGGCGACACATGGAGCCGTGCCTAGTCCGTGCTTTCGATTTATACATGCAACGGATGCGGGACCGAGAGTTAGATTTCTTTACGTTTGACTAATTGTTCAAGAAGGGGCATCTAAGCTGTTGAAAGAAAGGAACCAAACATACCCTTATGTGAATATATCGGGAATGTAAATCGGCGAAAAGCTGTTTTGTATGAAAATATGATTACAATATAATGGCTGCTTCGAAAACAGATTAGTTAATCTGATAACAATGGCGATTAGAATATATCGGATAATCAAATTGGGGTTGGTTATGATATCGGGAAATGATGGTACTGCGTGTGATCAATTTTAAGATACAAGCATTTATATAGTGGTATGCACGATAATTTGTAAACAAATTAAACCCAGAAAAAAGATCAAATATATAAATAACTGCAGTCCGACTATGGTACGAAGTACAAAACACGTAGTATTCATCAAGAAATGAAATACGTTTAAGAAAGGATATACGTACCTATCCCACGTATAAATCCAGGTTTAAAGACCTACACTTAACAAAGACCGATCTGCGTAAAACACAGTGTCGAACAAAAAATCACACGGTAAATTAGATTTAACACCTACGCGTCAGATAAAGCCTGCTGGTCCTTGATAAATCACCTTTGCTGCAGTTATAACACGCTTTCGAGAAAACTCACCAAACAAAGAATACACACCGTGTCAGTCGTTTTTAACCCGTTCGTTAATTAACACACCAGTACAGAAAACGCACCGTCGCCGAGATTTTCACCCCTAGCGATAATTATATCACCTTTCAGTCAATTTCTCACCCCTGTTAATTAACACACCGTGTTTACAGATTTTACCCTCTTCATATTAGATTTGTTGCGATAATTAGAATTTTACCGATATTGGTACAAATTTACTAAAAAGCGCGAAATCTATACTGTAAACGTACAAATCTCACCTTTACTACTTCTCAGTGATATAACGGATGGATTTAAGTGGAATTCTTTATGTAGACAAACACATGAAAACAACATATGGTTTTAAAGAAATTTCATGTACTGTAATTTAATTTGTTCAGAGAATAAATTATCCCAAAATACATGTTCATTTTTCAGATAAGTATCTATTATTGGTAAACCTGTCCATTATTTTCAATAAATAATGGATAGTTTTATAAATATTAGACGATTGTTTAAGAAAAACGTACATTCTCTTATATACTTGTAGTAGTGTATATTTGGTTGTCGGTTGTTATATATTTTTTATTAAGAAGTAGCCTCTTTCATCCTGTGTATGGTTTTAGTTTATGCAGTCAGTTAACTCAGTTGGACACAGATCACTAAAGATTTCCCCATTGACTCCAATGTTAATTCTCGTATCTTAGACCGGCTCTAACTTTTTCCCAAATTTTCGTTGGGTAGAACGCTTTCTACCACAGATGGAGCAACATGTGGCAACCACTTGCCCAAAAGCATGTATGAGGTTCTTCATGAAAAACTTGAGATACACAAGCTGGAAGTAGAGACAAGTAAACATGCAATTTCAGGCCCTACATTTCAACGTAACCAACCTCTCAACTCTTGTATCCTTCTGCATCAAAATTATGAATATTCACCAAAACCTGGCAGAAAATGTATTTTCAAACCTTTTTCCTCAATTCTACACCAAAAAGTCAACAAAAATCGCCATGCAAAAGGGGGAAAAAGGAAAAGGGAGAGGAAGACTAAAAATAGCTTTGGCCCTTGTTTCGTGGGTGACGGCGTAGGAATATTTGGTGATCTGTGTCCAGTTCTTTAATAGTCTTGTTCAACTAGACACTTGATATAGCTTGTAGTCTTGCTTTTCTATGTCATCTGTAGTTTCCACCTTATTTGGAGTGAGTAGTAATCCGTTACTTAGATACTATCCTAACATCCTGTTTCATCTTTAGTCACTTTTTCTTACATCTCCATCTTGGATGCATCATTTTCTGAATTCACTAACTCAGGTAGGTTTATATTTGTTTAACTTGACTTGACAATATAATGGAAGACAATTCCTTTCTAATTTAAATACTGTTTTATTCTGATATAAGTTACAAATAAAATAATACATTATATTCAATCTAAATAAGTAAAACCTTATATTTTAAAATGTATGTCTAATTTGGTGCTTTGTTTTATCTTTTAGTGCTTCGATCGCTCTTTTGTACATGTTTATATGATTTTCATCATATTAGCTCTATAAGTCTTCATTTCATAAGAGCAATATATTTCTTTATTCCTAGTTATTAAAAGCTGTATCTAAGCTATATCCTTTTCTATATATATATTTGCTAATTTAGTTTTATTATTATTTCAGTGCTCTTGTCTCTACTTATTCTTCTTTCTGTAAATAATTGGCTGTTTTGTTCCTGTGTGTATTGTAAATAAACTGTATAGCTGTGTTCCTGTTTTGTCTCTTTTGGTTCAACCCGCGACCTGGAAAGGTGGATAGTCCATAGTCCGTCGTCCATCGATCCTGCTACATACTGGTTAAAAACATCAAAGGGTGACGTCATATCTATGTTTCAATTAATATTAAAGGAATGTGAAAGAAATTAGTGCTAGATAAACAAGATTAAATGATACCTGGGTTACAGTGGACTGACCATAGTAATGGTGTTACAAAACTAAGAAAACCTCAGGTGAAAGTTGAAATAAACAACCAGTGAGCTGGGTGAACTGGAACTCACTGGAAACCTTTAGGAAGAGTGTATAGAACAGGATAGTTTAAAGAGGCAGTGATGTGTAACATATTATCTAAGATTAAATTAGCATTGTGACCATATTAAAAAACCTATAAATTAAATAAAATCACTCTACCACATATTCATTACTTTTAGATCATCTAATGATATAAAAATGTAAGATTATAATCTTAGGAGATTTTTAATTTACATCTAGACAATTCATGTGATCCATCAACAAGAAAGTTTTTTGAGATTTTAGACAATAGATCTTTGAATCAACATGTGACAAATCCAATGCATAGGTGGACATATTTTAGATCTTGTTATCACTAGATGTGATGAATTAACTTTAAACACCCCCTCTGTTTCAGATTGTTTGATCACTTCCCAGTGTGCTTCAATCTTCATATTAAACCACCTAACCCTGTCAGAAGAACATTTATGTATAGAAACTTTAAATCGCTTGACATAAATAAGGTCAAATCTGAACTTAATAATCTACGTATTGATATAGCATCCATTGAAAACATCCACAATAAAGCGGTCACTTACAATATCCAATTAGCTGTAGCTATCGAATCAGTAGCTCCTTAAAAAACAAAAACTATAACGGTTCGCCCTAACACTCAGTGGTATAATGAAACTATACTGGAAGCCAAAATAGAACGGAATAAAGCAGAACATGTCTGGCGAAGAATTAATTTAGAAATACACAAACAAATATATAAACATTTAAAAAACTGAGTGAATTATATGATTGATAAGGTTAAAGAGGATTTTTATTCTGATAAAATTGAACATGGAACAAATAAGCAGAAAGATTTATACAAAATCGTAAATGTCTTATAACTAGGTGGTAATTCACAGAACACTATTATTCCGAGCATTGATAAGTCGTCTGATTTAACTAGCTGTTTCTCTGACTATTTTAGATCTAAAATACAAACTATAAGAGAGGGGCTAGATGCTATAAATACAATCTTTGATTACTGTTACTGTCGTTAAATAGTTAGTGGTCTCATTCCCTGTTTGTCAGAGTTAAGAGGAGTGCCTGGTATGACCCTGGCTCAAATTTGTTGTATCATGGGGAGTACTTATTGTTTACTTTATATTATATAGTTTATGCATCGTTTTTCTTGCATAGCCAGCCACATACCCCAGAATTTATGTGTATATGAATTATGCAAATTAATCTAGGTTCTATCCATGTTCTTAACATGGATCCATCAGCCTTAAAACAATAGTCAAAGTATTAAGGATTACTCAGCACATGGTTGGTGAGTTGGGAGCATAGTGGCGGACATGTTGTAGTTTATTTCCCCTGTAAACTCATAGAGATTTTACGTCTGAATTAAGTCTGAATCAAGTATGAGAAGAGCCAAAAATGATCTGTGAAACTTAAGTAACTTTCTTCTCTGTAAAATGTCAATATAAACATTCAATTACATTCAGTCAGTAAACTAATATAAAACCTATGATGATTCTCCTGTTATAAAAGTTAAGCCTCAAGTGACGGTAGTCAACAGAATCCGGAAAGGTCTAGCCCTGTCAGCCAGGCCTGCCCTACTGCCATGCGCCTAGTTAAGCTCAGTGCACGACGTGTGATGTGTCGTGCATGGCAGCTATAATTACAATCCACATAATTATGTTCGATAAATCTAATGTTTCTTCTACTTTAAATACGTTTCATTTTGTATCTGAGGATACGGTTAGAAGAGTAATTAAATCATCACCTTCCAAATCATGTACATTAGATCCTCTACCTACTTCTATTCTCAAAGAATGCTTAGATGAAATTATTCATGTTATTGTTGATATTATCAACTCTAGTATTAATTCCTGTGTTATTTCTGATGTTTTTAAGTTAGCATATGTCATTCCACTGATCAAAAAGCCGAATCTGGACCCCAATATCTTTAAAAATTATAGACCAGTTTCGAACCTTAGTTTCATTTCAAAATTACTTGAAAAATTAACTGCTTAGATGAGCCATTTCAAAGTGCATATAAGCAATTCCATAGTACTGAAACTGCCCTAACAAGAGTATCCAAAGATATACTTCTTGAATTAGATAAGAAGTGTGTATTTTTGCTTTTATTGGATCTATCTGCAGCATTTGACACTGTTGACCATTCTATTTTTCTTCACAGATTATGTTTTAGATTTGGTATACAGTGATGCATTGAAACTGTTAAAGTTATTTAGTGGGTAGGACACAATCTATTTTATTAGATGGCAAACTATCAAAAGAAACTTTTATCTTTTGGTGTTTGACAAGGATCGGTTTTAGGCCTGATATAATAATGTAATATGAATGTATATAAACTGATTTACATTCAATCGTTTTCACTCTAATTTCAATTCAATCAAATGGCTATCTCTAGCGTCTGGTTATTACAGTCTACGCTGATAGTATTTATTGTGCATGCTCTCCAGATAAGAATATGGCTTCACCGTTTGACATGATTTGTGGAATATGTCTAGCCTCGTTCCCTTATTACAAATGGCGCTGAAATGCATTATGGTACACGAATGTGTACCAATGGTAAAACGTTTATTTTGTCTTAAATATTGGATATCAGAAGCCCATCTTTTCAAGATACGATAACAACACCAATGTTGATTTAAATTGACAAATAATTTGTGTTTTCAATGTCGAAGACTTTGGATGATACTGAGTTAGAGACTTAGCTACTTAAATTTCACTTATTATATACTGATGATACTCAGCTATATATTTCTTTTAACCCCAAATATCCATCTTCATTTAACCTATCTAAACAACAACTTGAAGATTGTATTAGTAAATTAAGACTATGGATGTCTAAGAATTTTCTTAAGTTAAATGACGATAAAACATAATTTTTTCTTTGTGTCTTTTTCCAGATCAGAAAATAACAAAAACACTGCTGTTTGTGAAAATGTCATTTGATAAAATGACGATCATTTATTAAATAACAAAATTAGGATGATACAAGTGAAATTCCCAAATTAATGGAAAATAGCAAAACATTATGGGAAATAGTACTGAATGAGTGTTGGGCTTAACGAAACGATCATGAAATGGCCAAACACGTCTCCTATGGGGAGATGTCTTGCCCAACACAAGGGAGAAAGTTGTGACCCCACAGGGAACCAACAGTGAACCCAACAAACCAACTGGATAACATACATGTACCCTGGGCAGCCTACACTGACGCCAGGTTGAGTTCATTAGAACTTGGTGTGAGGCTAACATCCAAGCTTCCAAAACAATCCAATAATCTAAAGGTCAACCCGCATAACTGACCCTGATCAGGCGAAATTAGATAGAAGCGGATAAAGAAGGTAATCTAATATAAGATTGGACAGCTGAGCTCTTCCAGGGACCTAAAACACGAATTTGGTCTTCAGACAGACCAGCCATAAATGCTGTTGTAGCACTTCCACTACGAAAAGAGTGAAGCTTGAATTGATCCGGATTTATGCCGAGGAAAGTCACCATTTTGTGTAAGCTAGCATTGACAAAATTGTAACGTGCAGGTGAGCCATCTGCAAATTGAAATAATGGCCCAGAGGAGTGTGGTATAGCTTGTTAATATGACCAAAGATTGCAGGGGGCACAAGTAATGTTACTTTCGGAAGTGCATGAGCAATTAAGAAATAATCCAGTTGGTGAAGATGTGGTTTTATGTTTATAATAATGATGTATGGCTATCTCAATGGCGGAGACAGAGGAAGCATGAAATGTAAACTGAATGTTGCCAACGCAAAGAGTATTTTGCATGTGTAAAGATGATTTAAACACTAATTCACCAAGGCGAAAGAACCCTGCAAAAGCGAGGGAGAAAATGGCTCGTAAAAGAATGCGATGTACCTGGAGTGGGATGACCAGTGGAAGGGCATGTAATACTCAGCTATATATTTCTTTTAACCCCAAATATCCATCTTCTTTTAACCTATCTAAACAACAACTTGAAGATTGTATTAGTAAATTAAGACTATGGATGTCTAAGAATTTCTTAAATTAAATGACGATAAAACAGAATTTTTTTCTTTTGGGATCGAAATATCAATTAAATAAACATGTACATTCTAATTTATCCATTGTTATAGGTGATTGTGAGATTAACCCTACTGCTTTTGGTCGAAATATTGGTGCGATGTTTAATAATTTTATGAATATGGAAGCACAAGTTAATCATATATCTAAAGTTTGTTATTTTAATATTCGCAATATTGGTAAAATATAAAACTATTTATCAAGAGATGCAACAAAACCTCTTATTACTTCCCTTGTGACTTCAAGACTTGATAATTTTAACCCTCTAATAGTTGGCTAACCCCTTAAACTTATTAACAAACTCCAACGAATATAAAATACTGCTGCTAGATTAATAACCACAATGAATAAATATACAAGTATAACCCAACTGTTCTCTTTGGTTTTTATAAAGTTCTGCCCTATGCCAACGTTTAGTATACGAAACTTTGAACATCATGGATTTAGCTATTCAAGTCATAAAGATTCATTGAAAATCAATATACTTGTTCATCTCACGACCGTAAACACTGTGTATCAATTTAAAGTCGGATATTAACTTTAGCCTCTAGAGCGTCCACAAGATTTTTCAAAGTGATCAAGGGCCATAACTTTGGCAGTAATTATCGGAAATCGCTGAAAATCAATAGGCTTCTTCATGTCATGACCTTACCCACTTAACATTGATGGTTAGATTTACGTAAAGTTTACGTCATTATGGTTAGATTTTGGTTAGCGTCCAATAATGGTAAAATTCTTTGGTTAAATTTACGTTACTTTTACGTCATAATGGTTATGGTTACTTTTACGTCAGAAAATGACGTAAATGTAACGTAAACTTTATGACGGATTACTAACCAATTTTTTTCGCTTTAAATACTTCTTGATTAAATAACATTACAAGTGTGTGCACATTCTAACAATTGATAAATAGTTGGAATTCAGACATAATAATTATATATGTATTATTGGTTATAATTCTAACGTTATTCTAACGTAAATTTTACATCAGGTTTCTAACCGTTAGTTTATGGTTAGTTTTCTGACGTAAATCTAACGTTAGTTTTCTAACGTTAATATAACGTTAGTTTTCTAACGTTAATATAACGTTACTTTTATGTCACAATTTTAACCGTTAATTTAACGTTAGTTTTCTAACGTAAATCTAACGTTAATTTTCTAACATAAATCTAATGTTAGTTTTCTAACATAAACCTGATATTAGTTGTATAAAGTAAAACAAATGTCAGTTTAATTTCATGATACTAACAATTAAATTACTGTCATTTTTTATCCTTAGTTTTCTTACGTAAACAAATGTCAGTTTAATAACATGAGCACCATTTGTAATGAAGCGACTCGATGAAGAAGGCTAACCATATCCCACAGGAGAATACTGGTGTGGACTAGAATAAGCAGACGCCAAAGACTGTCATTCAATTTGGGCTTTTTGCATATTTTGTCGAACATAATTGATTAAAATATACAGTAAAACCAGATAAGACTGAACTTTATTCAGTTTATATACATTCATGTTATATTATTATATGCCTTGCTACCCATTTTTGTCCATTTCCAGGGGCTCAACAATAGAAATGAAATGGGGTTTAACGTCCTACTGTTCTGCTCCGAACTGGGCTAATGAAGACGGGCATGTGCCATACAGTGTCCTATGAGGGACATTTTGCCCGTACAGCGGCACTACGACCTACTCTTATATCGAATTCCAACTGTCAAGGGATCTTTTACGTGCACACTAATGTGTCAACAGGACCTCAGTTTTTCATCAGATCCGAACAACTAGACAGGTGTCCTTATCAGGCCCTACGTCCCGCATCACTTTCTCGGCCAATGCAGGGATCGAACCTTTTAACTCCTTTAAGAATTTCAGCCTGTAAGCGACACATAAAGAGAAAAAGGAATGAATGAATGACCTACTCTCATTTCGAATTCCAGCTGTCAAGGTTTCGTTTACATGCACATGCAACATGAGCACAAGATCTTGATTTTTTGTCCTATTTGAAGGACTAGATACTGTCCTACATTACAAACAAGGGGAAAATTCTATACCAGGATCGGACCCCTCGTTAGTTAGCCAGTGTGTTAACTTGAAAGTTAACCATTAGCCATTCAACCACGCCAGTGTGCTACAAGGGAGTTTTATCTGGACAGCTGTGCTAAGGCCTACTCATATATTGAGTTCCAACTGTCAGGGGATCTTTAACGTGCATGCCGATGTGTACATGGGACCTCAGTTTTTCGTCCCATCCGAAAGACTAGAAACCTGTGCAGTGCACAAACACATTCTCCTTATTATTCCTGTCTGTGACTACAGTAACTTGATATTGTACACATTGGAGTGCACGTAAACGATCCCTTGGTAGTTGGAATTCGATATAAGAGTATTCTGTTGTGCCGCTGCCCGGGCAAAATTTCCCTCATAGCACACTGTATGGTGTAGGCCCATCTTCATTAGCCCGGTTTAGGAGCAGAACAGTAGGATGTTAAACCCCATTTCATTTCATTTCAATTTGGTAACATGGGAAATCAGATTTTCATCCCATCCGAACGACTAGACAGCTGTCCTTGTCAGGCCCTCTGTCCTGCAACACTGCCAAGCAGAAACCACATCGGAAAATCCTGATGAACACTAGCCAGTCAGTGGCTCCGGGGTCATAAATGTAGTGCCACAAAAAAAAAATTTGCAGTTCACAAACACATTCTCCTTACTATTTGAGTCTGTGACTACAGCAACTTGAAAGTAGTCCAATTAATAGCCTTTTTTATGTGGTTTTGCAATCGAAATCAAACCTGAGAGGGAAAACAAATAATGATAATACATGAAAAAGTGTGGCACCATCCAAAGGGAGAGTGAGAATGAAATGGGGTTTAACATTCACTCGACACAAACTAGGTTATTTCAGGACTAACCGTAGGGGTCTTTAGCAGTGGGAGGAAACCGGAGCACCCAGAGAAAATCCACGGGGTTGGACAGACGTCCCTACTCCTTGTCATATTCAACCCGGGAATGGAACCCATGCCAGTTGACTCAATGACATACCTTATGATACAACATGCATGCGCTAAATCGATGGACACACTAGCCGAATCGTTCGGCTGAATGGGTGGACACACTAGCTGAATGCTTCGCCCGATTCAGCCTGTCGGTTGCATCACCTTTCACGTCACATGATTAAACATGGCGGTGTCTGTGTCTTTAATCTATCATGTGACTTCTCGATATGAGTGGTGATTGGCTAATGAATTCTATATTCGGCCGAATGCTTCGGCGAAGCGAACACACCAGTGGACACCGAATCATTCGGCTAGTGTGTCCACCGCCTAACCATTTGTCCATCCGACCCTCCGCCAGTGCGTTACCAGGGAGTTTTGTCTGGACAGGAGTGCTAAGGCCTACTCTTATATTGAATTCCAACTGCAAGGGGATCTTTAAGTGCATGCCAATGTGTACATGGGACCTCAGAGAGAATGAAATGGCATTTATCATCAACTCGACACAAACTAGGTCATTTCTGGACTAACATATATAGTTTAATTTTATTTCAATAATTCGCGTGCCCGTAGGGGTCTTTAGCAGTGGGAGGAAACTGGAGGACCCAGAGAAACCCATGAAGTTTGACAGGCGACCTTACTCCTTGTCATGTACAACCAGGAAATCGAAACCACGCCAGTTGACTCAATCATACCTTATGATACAACGCACACACGCTAACCATTTGGCCATCCAACCTCGCGCCAGTGTGCTACAAGGGAGTTTTGTTTGGACAGCAGTGCTCAGGCCTACTCTTATATTGAATTCCAACTGCCAGGGGATCTTTTATGTACATGCCAATGTGTACATAAGACCTCAGTTTTTCGACCCATCCAAACGACTAGACAGCTGTCCTTGTCAAGCCCTCCGTCCTGCACCACTGACAAGCGGAAACCACGTCGGAAAATTCTGATGAGCTTTCTCAGGCAACACTGTGAGCGAACCTGTGACCTCCAAGCAAGCCAGCCAGTGTCTTATTCACTTAGCCACTGTGGCAAAGGGGTCATAAATATAATTCCACAAAAAAACCTGTGCAGTTCACAAACACATTCTCCTTACTATTCGAGTCTCTGTGACTACAACAACTACTCGAAAGTAGTGCGAACTGTAAATTTTATTTTGTTAAACTATCGTAAGAAAAGAAACATATTGAATATGCTTGTCAATATTCTTTCTCTGTCAGAGCAGCTAAAAGGTGAAATTGTCTTCCAAAAACTCTTTGTGAGTCCTCTTCCATCCAAAACTTAAAAAATCATTATTTCAAAAATGGTGTTGAGAGAGAGAGAGAGAGAAATGGGGTTTAACGAGAGAGAGAGAGAGAGAGAAATGGGGTTTAACGTCCACTTGACACAAACTAGGTCATTCGGGACTAACATATAGTTTAATTTTATTTCAATAATTTGCTTGCACGTAGGGGTCTTTGGCAGTGGGAGGACCCGGAGAAAACCCATGAGGTTGGACAGGCGACCCTACTCCTTGTCACGTATAACCGGGGATTCGAAACCACGCCAGTTGACTAAATGGCAGGTCGTCACCATTCGGCCATCCAACCCCCCAAAAATGGTGTTGAAATACTCATGTGTAATGAAGTGCTATAATTGAACTATAATAATAATATAGTAGGCCTAGTGGACTCCTCTGTCTCATTTTGGTTGAATGTTTGGAAATTTGATGGCTAATTAGATTTAGGACACTCTGGCATATTTTCTAGGGTTGGCTTCATGTGGCCTGTTTTCCATGCATACAAGAATTAACCAATTAGAAGTTAAACAAAATAAAATCTGCTCCAAAATATTACAATACTTTTTTTTATTTCATTGCCCAAAACACCTTTACAGCCTGAATGTTAATTTTGGGGCAGCGTTTAACGGCATGGGTGGTAATTGAATTTATTAAATTGACTAACTTTTGCACAATAAGTAAATATAAATTATCATAATACCCCAACTCAGACAAGTTAGTGGCCTTTCAAACCAATTTAAATTCGGTCAAAATTTGTAGAAATTTAGATATTATTTTATTGCATGTGTGTACAATTTGTTATGTGTCTAAGCTCTGTTACCACAAAAAATATATTTAATTTAGTCCTTATAGTAGATTCTATCACACGTTTGAAAGTTGTCCAACGGTCGAATAAATATGTTGTAGTTTGACCTAGATAAATATAAGACTGGGAAAATAAATATAAAAAAAATTCCGACATCTTAAAAGTAGATACCTATATTCGCAATGGAAATATTATTTTAAAAATCGGGATTATTTAATTTGATACAACTGAATAAAATGGCTCTAGTCGATCTATTTAAAAAAACATCAACCAAATATACGAGTTTGGCTACTGCCAGTGCAGTACTGCATCCGTCGTGATCCGAATAAAGCTGTACGTATGTATATTATATCATGTGCATGCTTAAAAAAAGGCCTCTGAATCATATAATAATTTCTTCAATTTTACTATTCATAGGCCTAAAATATTACGTAGTTATAGACTATATATATAAAGTATTGAAGTGCGTAGGCCTACAGTTGATAGTCGCATAGACTCCGTTATCTACGTATATGATATATGCCGCCATTTTGGGTCAAGGTCAAGATAAATTACAGTCAATACAAATGAATAACTACATCGATAGATTATTAAATGTAATTTCTATTAACTGATTTCAATGTTAGGTGGTCTATGTTTGTTGTCTTTTTCAGTATATTGTCCACATTGATTAAACTATCATTATTAAAATCATTTTGATTCTTCTATATTTGTACGTACTTTTTCACAACTCTGAACCCGGAAGCGAGGTATTCTGGGAAGGTTATTTTAAAGATGGCGGGCGTTTTGGAATTTATTCGTGGAGTGCATGAGAAATGTTCAATATACAGCTACTTGGATTACACAAACAGAGAAAGATAGATTATACCAGTTAAATTGAGAGGTTTTATTTGAAAGTAAGTTTTTTCTTATATCCCCGACTGCTGATATACACGTATACTGAGACTACAAATTCAGCGATATGAAAAGAACTTACAATACAATGTAATAGTAGTAAAAATACTAATAAAAATTATAAATACTATTCATACAGATGTAAAATTATTTCTGTCCTTATTTTTCTAATTTTTCACCGTAATTCTTACTTCTGTAAGACGCCAGGTTACGAAACAGTTTGCTTTTGTGAAGAAAAAAAAATTACTATCAGGTTATTACTGTACACATTTTCATTTTTACTTGCATTGGCAACACTTTAATCTCAATCTTCTCTGATTCTAAATAGCAGAAATATAGCAAATTCTTCTGTAACACTGTAATCAACCAGAACGTAATTCCAAACTTGACGTCTCCCCCTTGGACCCCGGCTGCTATTGCTTTTCATCAAAAATCTACCTGCTGTGCATAACTAAAGTTGACTTTTGAGCGCACGACAGAGAGTCTGGAGAGGGCCAACGGCAGTCTTTCGAATGGGACAAAAAAACCAAGGTATTTTGTACACATTGAATGATAATTTAAACCTAATTTCATTTTGATTTTGGAGTATAAAAGTTGCTTTAATTGAATTTTTTTTTGTTTTTTTTTACAGATCCTATATTTGAGCACCATTCATGGCAGTCATGTCGAGGAAGTTATAAAAAGGTTGATAAGGGCTTTGTATATGGAAGCTAGATGACATTACTACTTATCATACACAACTATTTGTCACATACCGACTTGGGATTGAAACCAAGCGACTGAACTCAATAACACTCCTCAATAACACTCGTCTATGAAACCACCCAGATGGCAAAGAAATAAAGACTTTTTAATTATGTACCGAACTCATATATGTATCTATGGTAGCACAAAATTCACCAGAATGTAGGCCAAAGCTTTACTTTACAAGCAGTAGGCTTAAAATATTTTCCGTCTGATCTTGTAAGAGTCAATTGTTTATGAATAGTTTGCCTCAAGCAGATATCCTGTCACTGTGTCACAGTATCATATAACCGCTTTTTGGCTTGAACTGAGTTGTATCAGTGAGTTGAAAATCTACTGCAGCCAGTATATTAGATTCAAAATTCTAACGAGCTTTCGTCTAATTGGCTCAACTGTAAAAAAAAATCAAATAAAATTCTCCAAATCCTGCACTTGTCTTAAAAAAAATGAACAAATGCTGTTTATATTTGAAATAGAAAATGAAATATAATGGGGTTTAACATCCTACTATTCTACTCCGAACTTGGCTAATACGCCATACAGTGTGCTACGAAGGAAACTTTGCCCGGACAGCGGCACTACGGAACGATTAGACAGCTGTACTTGTTAGGCCCTCCATCCTGCATCACTGACAAGGAGGAACCATGCCGGAAAATCTGGATGAACTTTCTTGACCAATGCAGGGATCGAACACCCTACCGCTAGGCTAGTGAGCCAGCGTCTTACCGACCGTATTTGAAATCGTATTTGCAAACCATACATAGATGTCACGTTCAATGTTGTTTGTGGGGTTGGATGGCCGAAAGGTTAGCACGTGCGCGCTGTACCATAAGGTATGTCATTGAGTCAACTGGTGTGGTTTCGATTCCCCGGTTGTACGTGACAAGGAATAGGGTCGCCTGCCCAACCTAGTGGGTTTTCTCCGGGTCATCCGGTTTCCTCCCATTGCTAAACACCCCTACGCGCAAGCGATTTATTGAAATAAAATTGAACCATGTTAATACCAAACCTACATGTAGTTTGTGTTGAGTGGACGTTTAACCCCATCAGACTCTCTCTCTCTCGCTCTCGAAGTTGTTTTCAATTTTAGCACTCCACCAAACCATTCAACTGGACTAAGAGCGAGTCGTTTGTATCAACAGAATGGTCCCGATCAGGTGCTCAATCGCCAAATTGAGCGAACGGTGGCGACACCAAACGACGTCATAATGATGGTTGCTAGGTAGAAATCAAAATTCTAAATTTGTTTACCATTCATGCTTAACATGTAAAGTGACTAGACATTTTTCGCCTTAATAATAGAAATAAGATGAAACAATTAAAATTTACACTGAACAAAAAAAGAAGTTGAATTATACATTGTCTTAATTTAGAAATTACATGAATGGAAGTTAGAAATTACAAGAGTAGAAGTAAGAAATTAGACGATAGCATGTTAGAATTTTGAATCTAATATACCGCCATAGTATACGGGGAAACTTTTTAAACCCTTACAAATTCTTCAAATTTTTGTGATAGATCAATAATAGCAAAAATCTGTGTTAAAATTATATTTGTAATGTGTTTAACAAATTCTATCACACATGTAATATTGGTGTAATTAAGTATATACCTTATTTCAATATTGGGGTATTATATCGTTGCCCTGACTGTTTGTTTGTCCAAATTAGTTTGTGATTGTGAAGGTGACAGTTTTTTATACGCTAACATTTTCATGTAGACGTATATTTTTGTAGCCCCTGTCCGTCCGAACGTCCATCGGTCCGTCCACAATTGTTTGTGGGACCGTAACTTCATGGATTATGGCCCCTGATTGTACTGAAAGTCATGTTTTTAGCTTGTGGACCCTATAGAGGTCAAAATTTTTATATGCCCACATTTTCATGTGGACGTATATTGTGGTAGCCCCGGTCCGTCCGGACGTCTGTACACAATTGTTTGTGGACACTCTACAGGTCACAATTCTTATCCGATTTTGACGAAACTTGAAATATAGGTTTATCTCCAAAAGATCTTGGTTGCTTTCGATATTGGCATGTATCTGACCGTAACTTCTTGGATTATGGTCCCTGATTGTACGAAAAATCAAGTTTTTAGCTTGTGGACCCTATAGAGGTCACAATTTTTATACGCCCACATTTTCATGTGGACGTATATTGTCGTAGCCCTTGTCCGTCTGGACGTCCATCCGTTTTTAGCTTGTGGTCCCTATAGAGGTCACAATTTTTATACGCCCACATTTTCATGTGGACGTATATTGTCGTAGCCCCTGTCCGTCCAGACGTCCATCCGTTTTTAGCTTGTGGTCCCTGTAGAGGTCACAATTTTTATTCGATTTATAAAAAAAAAACATGTGTATATATAACCATTACACACTAAGATCTTGGTTCCTTTTCATAATCGCGCATATCCGAACGTAACTTCCTCGATTATGGCTCCTGATTGTTCGAAAAATCGCATAATCAAGGTTGAATTCGAATTTAGGGAAAATCAAAATGAAACTGCCTGACAAAATGTGTAAAAGTATGCAATATGAAGGCATTGGATACTCAAGATTTTAACTGGCCTGCAATTTAAAAATTTAATTAAAAAATGGGAAAGTAAGGCCAAGTCTTGAATATACCTGTGCCCTCATTACCACAATGCACACATCATGTCGAAACTAGAAACTGTGATAACTTGGCTCAGAATGAAGTAATTTGAATGAAATTTTCATTTTACATGTATATAATTTATTTTTGAACAATCATAGCAAGAATGGTCAGCTCTTTATCTAAATCTTACAGAAAGTATCGTTAATGTATCTTTTTCAAATTTTGTCCCCACCCCCGCAGATTGGCTGCAAAACCTGTGAACACTGCCCTATAATTTATTCACATTTGTTTCAAAGTTGGTGTGAAGCATAGATATTCAGTATTCCACAAATTTCCTTTCCAGTATTATCCCACCTAGTTCGAAAACCTTTAGCAAACGTGATAGAGGCCGTAGGGTTTTTTTTTTGTTTTTTTTATCAAATTTGGTCAACGTCACAGTTTTCCTTTCTGATATACTGCTGAATGTGTTGGCGTATTTCCACATTTTCAAAGTTTTTCTCGAAGACCGTTTCCTAAATTGTCACCAACTTAATGCTGTGGATAAACTGTTACAATTTAAATGTCTACTTTTGTATTTTATTACATTATATATGTATTTTTTGAATAAAGTATAGATACTTGTAGTATATTTTGTTGAATAATTATGTAAGTTGTACTGGTTTTTTGGCGTTTGGTTGCAATTACATTTAGAATTCTGAATGGTTATTGATAAATACATGTATAGAGAGAAATGGGGATTAACTTCCACTCGAATCACACTAGGTCATTTTGGGACTAACATGTGGTTTAGTTTTATTTCAATATGTGACAAGGAGTCGGGTCGCCTGTCCAACCTCGTGGGTTTTCTCCGGGTCCTCCGGTTTACTCCCACTGCTAAAGGCCCCTACGCGCAAGCGAATTATTGAAATAAAAAATTGAACCATGTGTTAGTCCCGAAATGACCTTATTTGTGTTGAGTGGACGTTAAACCCGATTTCTCTCTCTCTCTCTTAATTCAATGACGGAACTTATGATGCAACGAACATGCGTTAACCGTTTGACCACCGAAACCTTGAGGACGAAATAGATAGAGAGAAATGGGGCCTACGATTCAGTTTCAGTTCAATAATTGTTTGCGCCAGGAGTCTTTAGCACCTCATATGGTTAAAGAAGATTTGGTTATTGGTTGACTGAATTTTACAATTACAACCACCAATAATAGATTATATTAAAGGTTTTAATTGCTCATTTGACATTAGAATTGCATCCAAAAATGATGTTTATTTAATGTTAGATTTACGTTAAAATGGTCGGTTAGATTTCCAACATTTTGCTCATCCTTTTAACGAAAATTTAACGTCAGGAAATGACGTTAATCTAATGTAGAGTTTACGTCATTTTTACGTCATATTTACGTCATTTTCTGACGTAAATCTAACGTAAAGTTTACGTCATTTTCTGGCGTAAATCTAACATAAGTGACGTAAACTTTACGCAAAATTTACGTTAGATTTACGTCAGAAAATGACGTAAACTTTACGTTAGATTTACGTCAGAAAATGACGTAAATGTAACGTAAAAATGACGTAAACTTTACGTTAGATTAACGTCATTTCCTGACGTAAAATTATCGTTAAAAAGATGAGCAAAATGATGGTAAACTGACTGACCATTTTTACGTAAATGTAACGTAAATTTAACATCATATTGTTATGTGGGTAAAGGGACAATAACACTCTTGCTGACTTGACAGCTCCAGAAAATAAAAAAATAGCCATATTCTACGTACTAGATGTGTTAAGTGTCTTACCTGTTGTGTAAATTATCCATTAAATCATATTTTACTTGTCCAGAGGGGTCGAAAATATTTTTATATCCAAGTCACATTTGAAAAGGTTTACGTCAAGCTTTCAAATCATTTAATTGAACTTTTCCAATTTTTTTAATTAGGTGTGTTAAGATGAAATTTGTATCGTCAATTTATTGGAATATTGTAAAATAGTACAATTTGTTGACCAGAATAAAGATTGGGACATATTATTCAGTTACAACAAGAGTGGTATTGAGCCTTTAAAGACTGTGTATAAATTTAAAGTCAATCAGATATTAACTTTTGCCTCTAGAGCGTCCACAAGATTTTTCAAAGTGATCAAGGGCCATAACTCAGACAGTAATTATCGGAAATCGCTGAAAATCAATAGGCTTCTTCGTTTCATGACTTTAAACACTGTGTAGAAATTTAAAGTCAATCGGATATTAACATTGACCTCTAGAGTGTCCACAAGATTTTTTGAAGTGATCAAGGGCCATAGCTCTGGCAGTAATTATCGAAAATCGTTGAAAATCAATAGGATTCTTCGTCTCATGACCTTAAACACTGTGTATAAATTTAAAGTCAATCGGATATTAACTTTAGCCGGACCGACGGATGGACGGGGGCGACAACACGACCACATTTCAATGTGGGCGTATATAAAAAGGAACCATAGGTTGGAACCCAAAATGACCTACTTTGTGTCGAGTGGACTTTAATGTTCAGCTCATGTTACTTAATCAGATTAGAGGGGTGTGAAGTACTTAATTAGGGATTATCCAAACTGTGGATTAATTAGTACTCCCCTCTTTCTTTCGATCACAGCATGCAATGTTTTTGGTTGACTTGGATGATTATATTCAATTCTGTCATTCACAATTCTTTTTGGACTTTTGGTCTGTGTACATGATGTACCTTTACAATACAAGTTAACTGAGCCTTTGTCGCCATTTCGTGTAGATTCTATAACCGCAATGTGTTTCAGGTGGAGCACGCCATTTTGTGTTTACCAACAAAACACACGAATGTAGACAATAATGCGATTGTGGAAAAAAAAACGATCATGTTAAGCAACGAACAACTTTGATTTATGTCCAGTGACCTCACGCACTATGAATTTTACTATGAATAAATAATCCAGATTTCAAAGAAGAGTATCATCGAAGAACTTAAATTTTTTGTTGAACATTACAGCAAACGGTATCACTATACTAACTAAACACTGATAATGTGAACTTCCAAACAGGGACGACGACAATATAATACGTCCACATGAAAATGTGGGCGTCTAAAAAGTGCAGCTGGGAGTATGGAGGGCCAGACGTCATGGTAGGTATGGTAGGCAAGTAAATAAATTTCAGTACTGAAGCATTGCATGCCAATGACTTCTAAATTGCATGCACATCTCATGGGGCCTTGTATCCAATAGTCAATCAGCAAGGTATAATTCCACATTGACACTCAAAGACCCTTACTACACTAGCAACATTGTAAATCCATAAAATTAATGTACCTGTTTTTCCGGAACCACTTTCACCCGATATAATAATACATTGATCTAAGTTTCGGTCTCTCATCGATCTATAGGCATCATCCGCTATGGCATATCTAGCAAATAGAAAACAACAGTACTAATTACTAGTCGAAGATGTGGCATCAAATGTTTTTGAAAAGAGTATCAATTTACCTCATTCATTATTCAGCAACATTTAATAAACAATCGTAAATTACTGCTGTGACTAAATTTGTCACAAATGTGTTTCAAATAAGGTTTTAATTTAACACTGTCAGTATCCACAGATATATAAAGATAGGTTGCCAGGCAATGCAACATACACCCACAGCAGCTAAGTCTTCTGAACAGTCTATAAGGGTTGTAACATATTTTTTCCTCAAAAATGAAAACATTTACAACACACTAAAATCTGATTACGTGTAACAACCCATTAAGTAATTATCAGAAATCATTAGAATTTGTTTCGATTGTTGGTCTCATGACCTTAAGCACTGTGTATAAATTTATATTAAACATACATTAGGCAAAAGCTAAATCTGCCTATTGCCATCTTAAGTGTCAGATTTTCACTGCATTTGAATCCAATTTGCTGTTCAACGGTCATTGATGATTTAATCCAAAACTGGATAATCGAGACTATGTTTTTTTAT